GTTAATTGATATACCTTTAATATATTTTGTTTTATGTAACCTTGACCTTCAGTATGCCTGGTTAATTTTGTTAAATAAGGATTTGAGTTAACTGCTCTTTGTTTTTCTCTTGCGTTTTAGTTAGAAAAAGGATTAATATTTCGAATTTGCCCTTTGCAAACCAATAAACAGTGGTGTATTTTCAAAGTTACGGGATATTGGTTTATACCTGGTAAACACAAAACACTGAAAATAAAACACTGAAAATGGAGTTCGGCAGAACTGCGAAACGAGACATTGCAGAACTGCGCGGCACCGCTTAGAATCCTATTTAAATGACTTTATGTACGCGGAGTTCCAAAAGATGATTATAATTTTGCTGCTGTTTTAACCTCTTCGCGACGGGCGAATCATATATGCATTTGGTACGGACGCATGTGAGGCCGGGCGGTCACCGTGAACTCGGAGACTGGCCAGGAACGGGCAGTGCAGATATGCATTTTAAGCTGAACACTTTTTAATAGCACAGATGGCACTCTGTGTCCATACATTTAAACTGACGTAGTTTTAGTCTTATGACTTAAGATTGTTTATTTGGATGTTTTGGTATTTTGCTTGCCAGTGGGCTGGGAGGGGGGGAAATCGTAATGTAAACAAACGCAGGGCTATTTAAATCGCTGAGTGCTAATGAAACATTCTCGTATCTGATTTATATCCAATTCCTTTTATTCTATTTTTTCCTCTACTGTGTACGGTCTTTTAGGTTACTGTGCGGAGTTTTTTTACGTTTGCATTGCCTTCAGATATATTTCCGTTCCTTCTTTTTATTTAGGAAAGCCTCACTCCAGTCTATATGAGGGAAGGAGGCGCTATTTATCAGAGGAAGAATACCTATTGGTAGTGAACAGTTACAAAAAGCAAAATGGCGTACTGATTCATTTTCTAAGAGTTAAAAAGTGATACTTTTTCTAGGATTACAAGGTGAACTTCTCTGTGCTTCGAAATTTACCACGCTCGTTTTCATTTAAATTTTGTTACTTCTTCTGTATAGTCTGTATGGTTCTTTTTAATACTTTAAACGTTATTGAGGGATTTATCATAAAACTTTAGAATAATTTGAATCGCTTTCCGAAAGTATTATGGAGATAAGCAATTTGTAAGTAGATTTCTGTAAAATAAAGAAAAATGTTTTAAGGGCTTATTTTAACATATAAGAGCTCAAGTATATCTAAAATGTACCAAAAATTACGATGCTAGAAGCGAAACTTTTGTTTCTGATTTTTGTAGAAAATTAGGCTTAACGATGCAAAACCTCCGTCTGTACGGTGACTGCCTTCGATTCTCTTCCGTCCCGCACGAGCGTTTTAAACAAAGGTGCGCCGTCGCGAAAAGGTTAAACTCTCGAGATTGTTGGAAGCCGGAGCGATTCATGTTAGCTTTAATGAAATTGTTTGTTATTAATCTCAAAGCTTGAATTCATATTTAAATTTTTTATGTTGTATGCGTAGTTTGTATCTCTTGATTATAAAGTTAAACAAAATGATAAATGGCCATCTGACTAAATAAAGAGCGAATTGTGATTATCTGACTAAAACATCACACTTCCGCCGGAATAGTTGGCGTATGTATTGCAGGATCTTCGCCAACTTTGATGGTTGACGGGAAACTGTGTAAGCAATAAAAAGGCAAGGTTAAAAAGGAGCAAAGCAGTAATTTGTTTTACAGCATTTGCAGTTAGCGAACTGAATTGAAATACGGAAGGTCATTTACAAGTGCAAGGTCAACAGTCAATCGAAGGGTGAAACCATTAAACAAAGTAAGTTCGCCATGGGTTCCAAGCGTAATGAGCGAACACGGTGCATCGGAGTTTACGTAATTTTCCTTATTAAGTACCATGAATGCGATCCATTTCTCTTAGGAAATCATACGTCTGATTTAATTTTTTTTTTTTTTTTTTTTTTTTTTTTTCCCTGCCACCAGCTGACATTAAAAGCCCTTTCTCGCAATAATAAAAACGCTACAAATTTTTCACTAGCCTAAATTTATTTTGGACGAATTGCAAGCTACATTTCGTTTTTCTCGTCGGTTCGTCGTCTTTCCTCCCGTCTTCGCCAGAATTTCACCTTTTTTTTCTTACTAATTCCCTGGGCTAACAAACGGGCGAGCGGTAAAGTCGCTAGGCTAGCTGCGGGTGGTTTTCGGAGTTTTCCCTGTGTGTAACATATATACACGATCCAGTTTCCTGTAACCCTTTCCGGGACACTACCTTTTAAAGTCGGAGTTCTGATTAAAAAAAAAGGGGGGTAGGCAGTCTAATTAGGCCTAGAGGAGTAACAAGTAAAATTTTGTGAAATAGTACTATCGTTTTAATCTATGGGTGTGCCAAGTGGCACACATTGAATAGAGTTTCAAAGAGGTGAACGAGCATGTTGTAATGAACTGACCGATGAGATGCGAGAAACAAAGAATACGTCTCTCAGTGTCCTAGAGATCGGTGAGCCCGGTTGTTACACACCTAGGGTCGCCGTTTGATTAGGCAAGTTTTCAAGGAAAAAGTAAACTAATAGAATAGGAGATTAGCATACAGCCAAAAAAAAAACATAAATCTTTTCAAAATATCTTTTACCCTAAAAAAAAAATCTGGAAAATTTCTTTGAAAAATGGGGTCTAAAAAAACTAAACATGGCTAAAATATGGACTGGTTGTGTTGAGCGGCCATTACTATAATAAAGAAGGTTATAACCTACACCCTTTTCATCAATTTTCTGGGTACAGAAGGAAATTGTTAGGTGTGTCCAGACCGGACACACCGTGCCGCAAAGGGTTAAAATGTCCGCTACGAAGGAATCCCCTCCCAAGTTGCTTTGCCGTAATCAGGTTTGATTTTAGGCTTTGGAATCCCCTCCCCCAAAAAGATTCGTTATTTGATGAACAGATTCAAGTGCCGCTCAACCGGGATAGTAGTTAGCAACACTGACTGTCGGGCCGAAGGACCCGGGTTCGAATCCCAGAGAAGGCGTATGTAAATGTATAGCGTCTGTACGTATATGTATATATGTATGTTCCTTATAATTGATAGTATGTTCTTATTGATTGATAGTAGACTGGTTTGTTCCCCTTGACAAGTTGAATTAATCTGCTATCAATGAAAGGATTTTTCTTTACAGATTTTTAATAATTTTTACTGCAATCGAAATCAAGCTAAAATAAAAACAGAACCGAGAAGTTTCTGGATTTGCATAACTCCCTTTACCCTGTCGTACCCTCACCATGCCTTGACAGTGTTAAGCTAATTTAAATATTCAGAAACTACTGATTCGGCGAAAAGTATCGTTAATAAACACATACAAGAACATAACATTTTGAAAGTTACACGCTTGTTTTGTTATTAAAATGTGGATTTAAAATTAACTAGCCGATTTCGATCAATTTACATTTTTTAGTAAAATTAAATTTTGATACTTGAAACAAAGTTTTTGGTCGAACTACAAATCTTGGAAAACTCAAAGACGTTGCAACTTTCTAGCAGACCGGCTATCGCTTGACATATTGTTACGAAATGTACAGGCGCGGTAAGATAACTTCCCCGCAAAGCAGTTTTTAGGGTTGTCATAAAATAGCATGGAAGGCAGGGTTGCCTCATTTGGCGAGAAATCGCCAATTTGGCGATAAAATTGGCGATATACTATTGACGGTTGGAGAACCTTCTGGAACGAATTCTTACCAGTTCAGCCCAGAATGTTCCCGAACACAGCCGAAAGCTATATAAACCCTGCTGGTTCGCAGCAGAGGTGTGATTCGCGAGAGGAGGTGTTCTCATCGAGAGGTGAGACCTCGTCTAGATAGTCAATCCTGCGGAGTCGATCGAGTTGTCATCCGGGCAGCGAAGGCCGAGCGGATCGTCGAGTCACCGAGGAGTCTTTAGGTATCGCGGTAGTGCATCGTCGAGAGAGCGTGTTGAGCTCCGGGAACGAATGAACCAAGGAGTGGGGCTGTGCCGGTGTCGTCGAGTGAATCGCGAGTACGTGGAGAGTCCGAGAGTGCGGGAGTTCGAGAAGACCAAGCAGAGCGGGTGCTTGGAGCTGTCTCCACCGTTATTGATGACAGTGCCTGAGGCTGTGTTGCGACGAGGCAGTGTGTTTTAGTTAGACTTGACGACTGTAAAAAGTGTTATTGGAGCGTCTGATTAATATTGGCGAATAAAGTGTGTTTCGTACTTCATCAAGTGTCGTCGTTATCACTCAAATATACGAACCCGTCGAACGTGAAGAAGAAAGAACTAAAAAACTGGTATCAGAAGAATAGGAAAACGTAAAAATGTGTCAGAAGGGGAACTACATACAGCCTAAGGTAGTTAGGTTATGAATATACAAGTGTCTTTATATAATTCCCATGTTACCTTATAATCGTTAAAATTCTATTTAAACTTTGAACGAGTAGCGTAGATTCCTAGTTATGTCATGTGTGAATAATGTGATGATCATATGTGTGTAGTATGCCTTCTGCTTTTTACAGGCCTACCAGCGGCCGAGCGGTAAAGTCTCTGAACACTGGTAGTTCGGTCCGAGGTTTGAATCCCGCGAACGGGCTGGCTGCATGGGCGTTTTCGTGGTTTTCCCCCCCGATGTGTAACATGTATACGAACCAGTTTCCCTTAGGAAGTCCTCCATGAAGGCATCCCTTCCCCTTGCAGATAGCCCACGAGGCTTTGTCATAATCACACACACACACCACACTCTGCTTTTTACAATTCCTTAATCTCCAGATTCAAGAAAAGGTAGGATTCAGCGACAAAAACGTTGTTTTTGTGAATGCAGAGAGCTAAACTTCTTTACCACCAGCACAAGAGAAATAAGTAGCTCATTGCCATTTCGTTGATAGTACTTCAGATGAGTCCAGTATTGGGCATCTAGTTTACTTTGTATATTGCCTTCTTTTCAAATCAAAAACTTAAATTTTTGTTTTTTATTTAGTTTTACCACTTTTACTCTCTCACTACTATGTATTCTGTTTATTTTTAGCCTCCCGGTAACGTCCCTGGACAACCAATGATGCCAAGTGGGATGGATCCCTCCAGGCAAGGTATGTTGAAAGTATTGTCGCTTCATGTAATTTTATTGTCTTCAGTTTTAAAACAACTTTTTTATATCATGTGTATAAAAATTTATTGAAGTTTTATTGAACATTTTATGATTAATTTAATACGGACTTTAATATGCATCCCACTAACGTGCATATATCGCCTTCTAATTGATTTCCTTACTGCGAGTGCTGACCGCACGTATTCGTGGTTGAAGTTCCTAAAATATTCTAATGTAAGAATTATACGGCAAGGAAATCAAAATATCCTAACATTCATTACAGCATTTTGTTGACGAACAATTCTAAAATAACAAACGGATATTTTAAAATAGTGCTGAAAATATTAAATCAATTTTTAGAATTTAAGACATCACTAGATAATGCAGATTAATATAGAAACTGACATTAGGGTAATCATATTAATATAGCTGGTGGTTTCAGGTATAATATCTGCTCATTATAATTATGTTATGTTATTTCGTAGAATTCCAGAATTCGTGTGTGCGTCTTTGTTGCTGTGCAGAGTTTTTCTCCCAATCATGCTAAAATTATACGTATTTGCTTTTGTTCTCATTTATACCTGAGCAACTAATTCCGTTTAGTTGGAAATTTTATTGGAACACTTTTTTTTTTATATTTTCCGTTCATAGTATATATATATTCATAAGAGTCCTTTCCTTTGAAAAGGAAGAAAATTGCGTAATATCCGAATTCTAGCTGGTGACAGATTTTTTGCTGAAATCGTTTTTCAGGTTACTTTTTAGTACCACTTTTTGTTGGTCGGAAACTAAACTGAAGTTTCAAGTATTTGTGCTCATAACGACCCTTTCTCTCATTTTCTTTAGGAAAATCATCAGAATTTCTAATTAACATTATTACCATAAATTTGCTGTGTTGTCCTGTTATTTTAACATACGCTAACAGCGCTATAATTTTCTTTGACTTTAAAAAAGGAAATTTTACTATTGCATATATTAGAGCTTCAATTATCCGAAATATGTCACACTAAGTAATCTATTCGGTTCGGGGTTCGAATTCCTGTGAACGGGCTGAACTGCATGGGTGTGTTCGTGGTTTTCTTCCATTTGTAACGTGTATACGAAGCAGTTTCCCTTAGATAGGAAGACAGATCTCAAATGCTTTACCATAATGAAATAAATCTAAGCAAACTAAAGACGAAACTTACTACCAGTAAAATTTATTTTACAGGTACTAGTTAAAGAGGATGTCATTAAACTTCAGGTATGTTGGGCAAACAAAATGGATTATGCTCAGTGCTGAATGTGGTCACTATGAGCAACAATAACGGCTGTTATACGGTGGAGCATAGAATCAAAAAAAAATTGTGGATGCCATTTTGGGGTATTAGACCCTGATTTTTGTAATCGTTTCCAGAGTTCATCTAGTGTAGCCGCTTGTGTCATGCCATTGTGTGCAGCATCGTAAACCAGTCGTGTTTATTCAGGTGAAAATTTTCGCTGGCCAAAACTGAACTGCAGTTTATTTTGTGCTAAGGAAGCGTGCATTGAATGCGGTGTGTGAATCGTTCATTGACCTGTTTGGAAGGAGGCTGCAGGGTGCAGCCGAATAGATTACGGATAACCATAGATTTGGCCAGATCTGTAATATAATGTTGATTAATAAAAAGTGCCAGATATGGATGTTAAGCGCTGGCGACAATCGTATCCAATTGCATTCCACACTATAATTCCCAAAGCTAGTGGGCGTGATGATGGTTAATCAAGAATCCGGTGAGCACTCCTTCTGTGGCTCCATACTTGCGCACTCCGATATGGTGTAGCATTTAGAAGATGACTTCATATCAATCATGCATATATATGTGTCGTTCAGCGAACCCGAACCATGATTGTTGCACACTCCTGTCCGTCTCGTTTTAAAAGCACGCAAAGCAATGGTCGCCGTGTAAACAATTCGATGTTGTCAAGATGAAGTCTCACCATATGTGCTGCATGTTGTATTTCCAATGCTAGGTTCATTATGTTGTATTGACCATTCTTACAAAATATCTCACCCCTCAAACATTGGTGTATCAAGGTCATAGTGAGCCTGCTAGTCCATTCCGTCCGTGCTTCCTCAATTCATCGGTTTTGTGTTTTCGTGACAGTGGTTTCCATCAACGCGAGTAGCAGTTTGGCGCTATAACAGTGTATTATGGTCATGGTGCGCCATTATTCTCCTGCCATCTCATTCAGCTACGTACTGCAATACGTTCTGTCTTACTCGAGACATTAGCAGGCCTTCTGTTCAAACAAAAAGGGATGAAACACGATTCCCGAATGGAAAACCTGAAATGTTTTAAACGGAAAGCCTTGGAACTTCGGCTGTATGATCCGAATATAGCGTCATCCTTTTAGTGCAGTAAAAGCCTGACTATCCGACATTCAGCTTACCGGAAAACTGGAGTAATCAGAATATTTTAGAATTTTACAGCTTCCCCCCCCCCGATCGTTCAAATTATTAAGAAATGCTGCTTGTCTAGTATAAGTATTGTATGTGTAACGTACGTATAGGATTTTAATTTTTTCCTTAATTTTTGTAAAGGAAAAGTACCAATTAATTGCTATTCATCCGTTTCACTCATGTATTATGAAAGAGTGATTAAAATTAAGGTTCTGCCTTAAACGGAACAGCGTGCAGTGCAAAATTTGTGGAACTTGGCATCAAGAAAAGTGTACATTAATGCGCACTATATGTGCGTATTTATTTAAAAATTGATAAACAGCGGCGATGTAACGCGAAAAATTATGAAAAGTGATTTAAGTTTTGTCTATGCTATAACCGTAACTTGTATCTTTCTTATCTAACTAAATAAAGAACGGTTTGTTCCTGTAAACTTCTCCTGAAATGAATTGTGCAAGTTTGTCGTTATGTCCACCAACTTTCATGATCGACAGGATTTCATAATTGGATAAGATGTTTTACTTTCATGTGTTTAAAACCTCAGAAATACGTTAACTTTTAAACCTAAAACTCTCTTTTCCCTCCCTTGAAATGGTATGTAATTTTAAATGTAGGCTTTGGATATTCAAGTTGATAGCAAATAAGATAACTTCTTTTATAATTTTAAACTGACAATATTTTCTATTAATTTGGCATTTTTACCATGAATTGCATTGTTTACACTCTCAGATCCCCGAAATTTCCGCGTGTCCATTACTTGGCATTTCCCGAGCTTTCCGGATAGTCCAGCTTTTACTGTAGTGTCACACTGGGCCTATCAAATGAGTTTGTCATGACCTGAAGTAACTCAGAGGTGATAGAAATGAAGGGGGAAAGAGGTCCCTAAACACAGGTGATATGTGAATGCAGGGCCGGACACCAGGACGGCTTTGTATGACATATCAGGTGTCGTCCGGTGCCCGCACCTATCTAGAGCAACGCGAGGGTTGCATCGGGAATTTATTAATGCGGAATATGATGTTTTGACGTGGCCAAACAAGGGCGTTTGCATACATGCTTCAACATTCAATTTATAAAAATTACATACATAGATACATTGGCTGGTATGGGTACTTTGGATACATATATATATTGGCCTAAGTAATATCCTTATTGAGAGATTACTAGATAAAGGGTGGAAATGAACGTAGGCGAGCAAATCTTGTACTGGATAACAACTATGTCATAGGCAGGTAAAAAATAACACGTGCGAACTTGGTATGTAAATGTCGAACAAACATATTATTTCCTTAGAAGAAGAGAGCACAATCTTGGAGTTTACTAAAGATGGAGAAGCGAAATAAAACATATTTAAACGATACAAGAACATGCAAGGAAGTAAACATCAAACTACAAACAAGAAAAACGAATACGAAAATACAGAGTAATAGCAAACTTGACTTTTCTCTTTAATACTCATTCTAAAATGGTGTTGTATTTCTAATCATTTTCGTGTTGATCGGCCGTCCTTCATTGGCAATTTTAATGGCTAGCGGTGAAGTTAATTTTGAAAACAAATGTCCAATTCATGATTCTTATACAAAATTCGTAACAGCTATCATGAGATTGGAAGATTTTTTTAAGAATTTTCTACGCCACAATTTATTTCACATCCACACCTTTTCTGAAGGCTTCATCAACGCATTTTTACAAATGATTTTTAAGGAACTCGGATAACCGAGGCTGTATTATATGTTGTACTAAGTTTTAAATCAACGATAAGTATATCTGATAGAAACTATGAGAGGTTTTAGATACTACTTAGAACCCGACATTGTAATTTTCATGCTATGAAACTTGTACACATTAACAGTCATGAAACTTGTACACATTAACAGTCAGTTTGCCAATTTAAAAGTACTACTTCAGCAGAAACTTTCATAGGTATCGTTTTGTAAATTCTAATCAGCCATTCTGTGCGGTATGAGAAAAGAAAGCATTTTTGAGCGTTGGCAGCCATTTTAATTTTCCTTCCTGGGCGATATAGCAAGATAGCTGCCTGAAACCTAGGGACTCCCATAAAGTGCAGATCCATCGCACTGTGTGCCAAAAGATTCGAAGCCATCAAACGACGAAAATGCCTCCGGTAACGGGTTATTACCCTTGGACGCAGATGAAGCCATTATCTCAAATGTCTCGAGGAGGTTTCGGTTTTGTTTGTTGAGTTGTTTTTTCCCCCCTTTCTGAGTGACTCGAAGGTTTTGCATTCCACCGCGCATTACGGAGTTGGGAGTTTTAACTTTGAAAATGCTCGTGCTGTTTATGGTCCTCGTCCAGATTGCGGGGAATGTTAGCCGTAATTAATGGACAGTGTTTTGATTGCGCTGCTGTCTCTGTGCAAAGTTGTTTCTTTCTTTCGAGCACTTGAGTTTTAAACGCTTGCCATTTCGGAGTTGGATTGCTCTTTCTTTGCAGAAGCGCCAAGTTTAATGAGAATAAGGCCTTGGGGAGACTGTTTTTCGAATTGGGTTCAGAAGTGAAGTTTGAAGTTACAATATTCGGTTTATTAATTTTATTTCTTTTAGCAAATTAGTCAGAGAAATGCTATAAAGCAGGAAAAGTAATAGACAGAATTCGTTTATTTCACTCTTTAACGCGATGAGTATAATAGTCTATCTGTAATAAGGGAGTATATTCCTTTTTTATATATATTCATATATATATATATTATTATTTGGGATTATCCATGAAGTACGATTAGTTGCATGTTGCCATATATGATAATTATATTAAAATAGTAAGAAAATCAGGAAAACGTTTAGTTTCAAACAATGAAAAAAATTATTTACAAATAATTGTGTCAATAGTACAACATTTTTACCTCCCCCCCACACACGTATCTTATATGAAACTTTGATACTGATAATTACATTTAGTTTTGAGACAAATGTTATGTATATGCTTACTGATGATGATGATGATGTTCTGTTAGACATGTTGATCAAAGCAGCGGCTGAAAATTCAGTCATGCCCCATTTCAGGTTTTCCTAGTTTAAAAACTCAGCCCATTTCAGGCCTTTTTCGATTTGTTATGTAAGAGAAGCTCACATTTCGGCTTTATTCAGGATCAGTGTAAAAATCGCAAGTATGATTAGAAATATGTATAAAATGATGTTGTAGTGACGCTCTGACCCTTCATGTTTAAACAGAATTTCGAGACAACATTAATGCCATATAAGGGGAATAGTTAATACAATGAACATGGAAATATTCCGTATTTGATTCATTTAGATGCGACCTTGAAATAAGGCCATTTTGATTTTTAATGAATAATCGTGGCTAAAAAGCTTGAAAATTCGACGCCTTAAATGAAAGCCCCCCCCCCCAATTTTTTTCTTTCTTTCTTTCTTTCTTTTTTTTTTTTTTTTTTGAGAACTTTGGAGCTTAAGCATTAAATCAAATTTTAAATGAATTGCTGAAAAGACCCAAGAAATTATCAGTGATATTGCTTTCACAGTTTCTAATAAATTACATGAATTATTTTATTAAGTCTTTAAAAATATGTTTCACGAAGGAGAATGTTGAGTCGTGTATATAGAAAAGGATTTTTTACGGCCACTATATTGTATTCAAACAGAAGATGTGTCCTCCTCCTGGCTGAAATATGTATTTTCCGTCAACCTTAAAAAAATATTTTCTTGTTTCATGAACAATTTATTTCAGAGTTATTTAAAGTATGTGAATTTTATTTTGGAATTTCTGCCTTGAAAACAAACAGTAAAAAGGTTTTTCTCGCTGATAAATATTCGATGACCAAGAAGTAGAACTGATTTAATGTATGGTTGTTTAAGCTATGATGTGTTTTGATTTTTTTTTTTTTTTTTTTTTTTTTTTTTTTTTTTTTTGGAGGGGGTAAATTATTTGGTGAAGGGGAAAAAAATCTGACCATGTTATGAGAGAAAGTTTGAAAAGGCATGGTTTTTATGCTTTCGTTTCGAACGTCTGCTTAAGGAAAGAAAAAGCCTGAAATGGCACGGTTTATCTCCATCTGTATAAAACCTGAAATTGGACATCATGGAAATGGAATCATTTAAGATACACATTTAATGACTTTCTTATCTGAAATAAAGCATTTTTCTAAATTGAATATTGCATTTGTGGTCGATTGGTTTTGCTTAAATCAAATATTATTATTTTCAGTATTTCTGTCATAACCATAATGTTGTTCCTTCTAATGTTATGTAAACAGATCCTTTGATGTTTTTAATACCATGCTTCCATCGAGAATATAATTTGTTCGTTTGTCCAGAGGGGTGTAGTTTTGCGAACAGTCAGTAATCGATTCCGATATAATTAAATATGATATTTAATTGTATGCATGTAATAACTGTTTTCCTGATAGCTAGTATCATCATTATTGTGTCGCGAGAATCGATTGTTCCCTGTATCTCCCCAAGGCGAAGCTTATATACTACACATGCTGTTGTTTTGAGTGCTTTGCTTTCGCTGGAATCATTAACGAGAAACCTGAGCGTGTTCTGACTTGTAACGCATGCTTATATGATCAATAATCCAGTTACATCATCATCATCTGCGTAGCTAACACACTAATTCGTTAACAACAGATGCCTGTTAAACAATATGTTCAATGCAGAAAACAACTTATTATTGTATGGAACCCACTCGTTTACGTGGTGCGTTTATTTTACTATTCTTTCTAACGATTTTTCCAGATAATGACGTGCCTCGCCTTTATTAACAAAAGCCCTTTTTTTTCTTTTGTCTTATGCATGCCTGCTTTGACTAACTCTTCCCTTTTACCCATTCTGATTCCAGGTGACAGCGGAGAATTCGTTTCATGGCAAGGTAAGAAAAATGTGTGATATTTTCTGATAATATTTTAATTTTCAGGATTGCAAAACGCAACTTTTTGTCGAGTATTTCAAAGTGGTTTCTGTTTTTCTTATATGAATTTGTTGACACAGTAGCCAATTTTTGTAAGCCGACATTGATTTAAATTGTTATATAAGTTTTATTTATTTATTTATTTATTGGATAAATATCTGAAATATGCAGTTGCATGTAAAGATACGACGTTGAGAGAGATTGGATTGGCAGATATTTCTTCCGTGGATGTGATTGTTAAGGTTTAAAAAAAAAAAAAAAAAAAAAAGATAAATAATAGTTTACATTTTTTAATTCATAGTGTGTAAATGAAAATTGTTTTTAAAACGTTCACTATTACTTCCAGAAATAACATTTGTGGGCTCTGGAAATCGTACCCTTTATTTTCATATAAACATAGTATTAATTTCATGAAATTTTTATGTGAATATCCATCCGCCACACTTTTGACAACAAAAAATAGATGACGGTGAAGTTAGAATTTCTTTTCGTATTAAAAGAAGTGTTTCAGAAGAAGAGATGCCAAAGAGTTCCTAATTCATATTTTTTGTCGGCTGGGGTCCCACTGATTTGCCTATAAAATCATTTCAAACTGTAATCTTAATTGCGGGACGAGACACGTGAACTGAAATGATGTTTATAAGCAAGATGAGCTGTAGCGTCAATCAATGATTATTCTGCGAGCTGATATAGCCCGGTGTTTGAACGAGCACTTTCTGTGTGTGGAGGGCCGTCTTTAGTTTTACAAATTGTGAATGAAGATAAAATATCAACATACGGGAAAATGAATGCGCCTATGGAATTCACATATATGATAAAGTAGCCCATGGATCTGTCGTATCAACCATATAGTGTCGTGGTGCGCTACTTTAGGTTGGAGGAGTTCTTGGATATGCACGCCATGTTGACGTGCACTTTATTGGTAGTTGGCTCTGGCCATGGGGATTGCACTGCTCGGAAGAACGGAGCGATGTTGCAAATTTATGTTTCATAAATAAGGAGGATTTGCTTCCACATGCTCCTTGAGCTATTTACAGTTTCCCGTGTACGTGACATTATTTGTAGTAAATAATAATTTTTCTCCTCATCCGAAGTGATTATTTAGAGAGACAGCCACGAGGATTTTCCCCGCAACAAATTGGTGTCAGAAATGGGTTTAGTTAACGCAAAAGCGGAAGCCTGCGCGTCTAGAGTAAATCTTTGCTTTGTTTCTGTTGGACGATGTAAAAGTCGAGTGTAAAAAAAAAAACGTTTAACAAATCTTTTCTAGTATGTCCCGAAACCAAGAAAGCTTAACTGTTGAACATTTTGAGGGCGTTACCATTCACAAACGGCCTTGATTTTCTCGGGATCTATGCGTACACTTTCAGTGGAAATAATATGACCGAGTTGGCTAACATCTCAAAGAAGTAATTTACACTTCGAAGGGCTGCACTTTAGATTAGCTTCTCTGAATTTCAGTAGAGTGATAGTTTCCAAGCGTGTTTAAAAGTGCGTTCTATTGTAATAATGCAGGCTTCGTATGACAGTCCTTTAAAACTGTTTCCATTATATGGTCAAATGTCGCTGGAGCATTGCATAGTACTTTAAGTTGCTCGTAGTAAAGCTGCCTTCTTCTCCTGATCTTTAGGATCTACTTCCACTTGCCAGTAGCCGCTCTTTAAAAATGCAGTAGGCAACCATTTGCTTCCTGCTAGCATGTCCAATGTTTCATAGATTCTAGACAAAGGGTAACAGTATTTCTTTGCAATGTTATTCAGTTTGTAATACCATTCGTAACAGTATTTTTTGGTAATGTTCTTTGTAATGAAGTGAATAGTCGTCACAAAATCGTTGGTCCCGTATTTTTTTCCAAACCAAGATTATAATCGAAGCCCAGAAACTAGACGAGGGTCAATAATATCGTACTATAGGGAACTATGAAGCTGTCAGTAATATCGTTGTTTTTCAGAAGTTTTCCGAATTCCTCTTGTTTTGCGAATAAAAGAAGCCGAGAATGTTACTTGATAGGTGGATGGCTTCCAGTATTGATCCGGTGTTGTGTCACATTCGTGCGACTAACGTGACTAGACGAAGTTAAAAATGTATCCTTCAGATCCTCCGTTAAAAGACTTGCAGATTAAATCTTTTTCTTCAGCTGGAATGCGCTTCTGATCGGTGAAACTTTGCTCTGTGCTTGCCATAGGGAACTATGAAGCTGTGTCTTCTTGTTGCATAATCGAGAAAATATTGTTAAGAATTTTATTATTACTATTTTTTATTGTCTATTTTTCAAAAGTGTGTTTTTGTTTTATTATTGTGTGAAGTTGTAACTATATGTCTTTTCTTGTGTGGCAACAACGCTCTGTAATCTTCAATTTGAACTTTTGGATGTGTGCCAAGTTTGATGGCGTAATGCTCTGGTGAAAGCGTCGATTGATTGTGTAGATGAAACATGTTGTTTCAGAACGTTATTTCTTTAAAATATGTAAAATAAATGTTTTGTTTTCTGAACTCGGATTATGCAAACGTTATTTAGTTTCAACATAAAAGCATGGCGTCCGTTTGACAGGATGTTTGTGTGATTTCGAGTGGTTTTGATTTAGGCGATTTGTTAAAATGGAGTTGTTAAAAGCAAAACGTAAAAGTGAACGTACTTCGTTTACGTTAACTACGAAGATTGTGGAAGAAGAATTGCCTACTTGTACGGATCCTGAGAGATTGCAAGTTGTTGGGGAAGCAACTAATTGACAAATTTGAACGCTTGGACAGTACTCAAAGCAGTAGTGTTTTAGAACAAACCAAGGAAGCTGATTTTAGAGAATGAATTTAATACGGCTGAAGGATACAGAGGATTCCTTTATAGCTTTCAAGGTGAAACTTCAGAATAAAATTGGACAAGTTGAATTCGATGACTGTTACTACAGATATTGCTTTCAGTTTCGATTTCGGATCCTAAAGAAAATAAAAACAGGAAGTTCAAACTTCCTAAACTTGAATGAGATGCAAGAGAATTTTTAGGCTTTTGGAGCCAATTCTCCAAAATTCATGAAGATGCGGATATTGTGCCGGAAGATAAATTTTTGTACTTAGTGCAAAGTGCAGTACCTGGCTCAAAGGCAGCTCAACTTTTGAACAGTTTTCCTGTTACCGCCGCGAATTATCCTAAAGCTATTGAGCAGCTGAAAGAAAGATTTGGTAGAGAAGACCTTCTGGTGCAAATCTATGTAAGAGATTTGCTTGGGCTTGTTACAAAGAATGCTACAACAGGCAGAACGGCGTCGGACTTAGGAGTACTTTATGATAGTATAGAAAGTAAATTACGAGCGCTGGAAAGCTTAGGACGCACCAAGGAAAAGTTTGCTGATTTCTTGGGACCTTTAGTAGAGTCGTGCCTACCTGAGAATATTCTACGTGCCTGGGAGCGGATTCGAACTTCTGAACAGGGACAGGAAAAGAGTTCTGAAAGAACGCTTGAAAAACTAATGTATTTTTTAAGGCATGAAGTAGAATCGGAAGAAATGATTAGATTAGCACAATCAGGATTTACTCATTCTGTTAAGCGTCTTAATAAAAATGTTATTTCAGGTAATTCAGATTTAGCAACAGCTGCCGCGCTGGTAAGTACAAATGAAACCAGTAAAGGTAAGCAAAATGTTTGTATATTTTGTGGTAAGCCTCATATGAGTGCTAAGTGTTTTAAAGCTGAAAATATGAGCTTAAATGAAAAGAGGCAACTTGTACAAAAGAAAGGTGTTTGTTTTTCATGTTTAAGAATTTGGCCATTTAAAAAACCAATGTAAAGCCAATATTAAATGCCCCATTTGCAGTTGTGATCATATAAAATTATGTGTCCTCAGAATGTTAGTTCTGTAAAACAAAATGACTCTAAGTTGGATGTTTCCCTTTCTAATAACAGTAAGAGCGAGAGAGAAAGTTTATTTGCAAACTTTATGTGTTCTAATTAAAGTTAAAGATCGAGAGAGAAAAATTAGAATTCTCTTGGATTCGGGGATCCCAACGATCATACGTTGGGGAGAAAATTATGAAGCGAATGAAGGCTTATCCTATTCGACAGGAGAAAGTAAATTCATGGTTTGTTTGGGGGGAGGGAAACTGCGCCTGTAACCCATTCTGTTTTTGCTATTGACATAAGCAGTTTAGATAACACTTTTAGGTGTTGTTTTGAAGCTTTTTCTGAAAAAAAGATATGTGGATTTGTTCCAACAATCAAGAATGCTCAGATTATAGAGGAATTGAAAAGCAGGAAAGGAAAATTGAGGTCAGTGACACATTTTGCGAGGAAAGTGAAATTGATTTATTGATAGGTGCAGATGTCATTGGTAAACTGTTAACTGACGAATACCTAGAATTACCCTCTGGTTTTAACTGCAGTCAAAACAAAACTGGGTTGGACGGTTATGGGTAAAGAAAATGATACTGTCAGGGATAATGCCCTAATAAGTCTTTCCTTGCATGTAAATAATGCTTCTTTGAAATCTTTATGGGAGCTTGAAGTTTTGGGTATTTCCGACCCGACGGAAAATAGTAAAACGAAAAATCTTCATTGCGACTACGAGATTGATTTTTCAGAATAAATTATCTATTCGGCCCGATGGTAGATATGAATTAGAATTACCCTGGAAATGGAAATGCGAATCTACCAATTTCTCAGATAATAAAAGCATTGCTTTGACACGTCATCAAAAAATGATAAAGAGGGCAAAGAAAAAATAATTCTTTGAGGGAATATCAAGAAGTGTTTAGAGAGTGGGAAAAAAAATTTAAATATTTAGAAAAGGTTCCGGAAAAGGAAAAGGAATAAAATTAAACAAATAAATGCCACTTTTTAACCACACAGACCGGTTTATTAAGATGAATAGTGAAAGCACTAAGGTAAGACCCGTTTTTGATGCTTCATCTTGTGAAAAGGGAAAACCATCTTTGAATCAGTGTTTATTGAAAGGAGACCTAATTTAATA